GCCTCCACTGCCTTGTTGGTGTCTCAAACGCTGATGGTGATTCTGTCCGTTCATTACCCAGCCTTTCCACCATCTATCTGGCCCATCAAGTTTTGCTCGAGTTTCGTCTGTGAACAAAACTTTAGAGAAGTCAATCTTCATATTGTCCTCGGCCAATTTCAATCGATTTTGAATGTGATTTCTCGTCAACGGAGGCTTTGATACAGGTTTGACTGTTGTTGCTATTTCCCTCAGATACTGACACCGAGGACTTTTAGACACAGTAGGATCCCCAATGCGACTGAAAATCTCTTGACTGGTAAGTCCAGGGTTCTTCGTGGCCTCTCGTTTAAGTCGTGACATGAGAGGACGTGAAATAACCCTCAGCTTGCCTTTATCTTTTTAACTTTTTCACTGTTTGATGACACCTCCCTATCATTTTAGAAATTTCAAGGGTAGATTCACCTTTTGAGAGTTCTGAGATGATAGTTTTCTTTTCAGCATTACTTAAACTGCTTTTACGGCCCATCTTTTCACTAAATTCTTACACTTTTCTAATAATTTGGCACACTTAAATCACCATGCTGATAACAAATATGGCACCAGTTTGTTTATATTGTGCAGATCAGTACGAAAATTTCAGTGATTGTGCAGGTCATTGTTGCCAACATTGTGTGAAAATTTTGTGTGAATTGATTTGATGGTTTTTGAAATATTATAAAAAAAGTTATCTCGATAATAATTTGGCATGCAGTGTATTTGAAAATATATATATGTGTGTGTGTGAAAATATATGTATGTGTATAATATATGTGTGAAAATATATGTATGTGAATATATATATATATGTGTGAAAAATATATGTATGTGAATAGAAATATATATATATATGTGAAAAAATATATGTGAATATATATATATATATATATATATATATATATATATAAAAAAAGACTTGAAAAACTTATGGTACCTTCTCTGTCGTTTTTAATGAAACATGCATACATATATATATATATATATATATATATATATATATATATAAAAAGCAATTGACAATGAACAGCAAATATTACAACTTCAAATTTGATTAATGTGAGATGAGTGTTCCAGTTCAAACAAATTACTGTATGATATTAATAATTCGATGTTTCATAAATTCAGACAGAATTTAATAACATGTATTTAGAATTGTCTATTATTTTAACTTTGAAAAGAATTATGTAATTCCTTATTTTGATGTGTGGTTTGTATATGTATTGGGTTAGAGCAGGTGTCTCAAACTCAAGGACACAAAAGGGCCATTACGTGCTGAGGGAGAGGTCCTGTATACTAGAACCATATCAGATGCCAAGCTATTACCAATGGACGTCAACTTCAGTTTGTGTGGCAGTCATGGTGTTACTGGCAGAACTGAATTTTCTCACATTAGAATTAGTTTGTTTCATATTCACATATGGTAAGGGCAAACATTTTTCTTTACACAGGCCATGCCAGAAATAAAGGCACATAATATTGAACAGCTGTAGTTTTAATCTATATGCCTGATTGACTGTTATATATTACTCAAAATGAATCCACTCATGATAGTAAGTTGAATATGTAAGTACAAAACATGTAAAAACTGTATTTTTTCTGTTTTAATTTTTTTTTATGTTTCATTTTCAGACTTATAAGTAATGTTAAATAAAGTTCTATTTACCTTCATTTGATCCCAAACAGAGTGAAATTTACTTTCCGTCCTCTGTTACAACTCTGAGGTGTTATAGGTCAATCATTTAACACTACTTATTCGTTGGGTGCATTGGTATGGAAGGTGCAAGGGGTAAATTTATTAAAATTTCAGGAAAATATTGGTAATGAAAATGGTTCCCCCACAGGTTATGTGATAGGATGAGAAATACTTCAGAAACGTCACTCTTGCGACCTTTTCTTTTTAATCCATGGGAGTTTGTTAAGTCATAAGAAAGACTAAAATACATGAAAATAACATTCAAATTTATTTCAATAAGACAGTTTTAAAAATTTAATTCTTGATGGTTTTTGATTTCGTAGTTGTTACATGTTATAGTTTTAAATTTAGAAAGTTCATAATATAAGACTTATATGAATAGAATTTTTTTCATTTAATTAGCTGTTATATTAAAGTAAAAGATAGGTAAAATTCTGTGGGCCCTGCTTCTTGCTTTTTATAAAAATTCAGTTTGAAGTGGCGTAAAATCTGGTAGATCTGCCATTACAGCAAATAACAGGAATTTTAGTCATTGCATTTCTCTGACTCAATTGCAACAGACTGAAATTTCTATTGGTCATGAATATAACTATAACTCATAAATGAAAATTCTTATTTTATTGTGTTTAATGGAAATTCAGTTCTGTCCATGAGTCAGGATATCAAATAGGCATTCATTCCTCCAACCAGTCTGTGCCCAGAAGAGATTTAATCCAAAATGGCAAAGCAGATTTTTATTGATGAAGGGTTTTACTTTCCCAAAGAAATAAAACTCTCCTTACTTTGATGTCACATTTGTACATCTAAAAGAAAGAAAAGGACACATCAGGTACATGTAAAAACTGCAATGTGTAATTGTATCAGGATTTGAATCCTACCAGTCAAAAGGGAAATCTTTTTTAATAAATATTTTTTTACCTTTATTTTAGTTTGTCTCTAAACAGTTTTTTTTTTTTTTTTTTTACCAAGGTCTTTATTTTCTCTTGACAATATTTAAGTGAAAGTAAACACAAAAAATATTTTTTTAAAAAAATGTTTCACTAACTGCCCTTAACATTATTTGGGTAGAAAGAAAATCCCATCAAATTTGAAACTGGGAAAGAAACAGATGTTTATTTGGTTTTAATTGATATATTCGATCAGTTTAATATTTCCTCTCATTATCAATATATATCTCATCTATTTGGTAAATTGTTGATCCCACTGGCTTAAAATTCTTTAGGTTTCAATGTAGAAAAAGACTTCATATTAGTTTTAACCTCTTCAGGATGTAGATGATCATGGCTCTTCACTTCCGCCTATCCCTTGTAATTCTCAATACGTTTTCTCCTTTTGCTACTTCTCCCAAGTCCTGTTCTGACATCCACTTGCTTAAGCCTGCTAGGTATGTTACATGTTGCTTTCCCTTGTCTCTCTTTTCCTCTATCTGTTCTGTAAGTATCAGATTCTTCAAGCCCTCTTTTCTCATTACATGTCCCAGAAATTTCAGCCACCTCTTCCTGATGTTAAATATAAGCTTGTTTGCATCTCCGAAAACCTCATCATTGCTCACATGTTCGGTCCATTGTATCCTTTGCATCCTTCTGTAGAACCATAACTCCATTACCTGAAGTCTCTTCTTCATCTTTGAGGAGATTGTCCAAGGAGGATAGATATCACACAGCAGTTCTATACTCTTTGTTACCAACAAAATCCTCCTGTCTCGTAATACTCTGTCTAGTTTTTAGAATGCGTCTTTGGCCATCCTAATACATCTTCAGATCTCAGCGTTGCACTTACCGACCTCTGTCAGAACACTTCCCAGATATTTAAATTTCCACACCTGCTTGATTTTAGTGTCCCCAACTTGTAAATCACATTTTGAGCTCATCTTTTTACTGATGACCATGCATTCTGTCTTCTTGTAGTTTATGCTTAGTCCTTTCTTCTTGCTCTCCTTCACTACCTTCTGTAGGAGGTTTTGTAATTTCCTTTCCGTATCTGATATCAACACTGTGTCATCTGCATATCTTATGTTGTTAAGATTGTGGCCATCAATGATGAATCCTGGTAGGATTTCCAGTTCTCTTAGACTTTAGGTTGAATAAGTCCAGTGAGAAGACACATCCTTGCCTTACACCCCTTTCTATTTTTGTATATCTGCTGAACTCATTCTCTATCTGCATACAGGCAGTTTGCTGCCAGTATAGGCTCTTGATTATTCTAATATCTTTCCCAAATATATCAAGGTTCCTGAGCAGTTCCAACAGATCTTTGTGGCATACTTTGTTGAACACCATTGCATAGTCTATAAAACATAGGTGCACATCCTTCTGCATTTGTATTGCTCTTTCTGATAACATTCTGAGCATGAATATTGTGTTCCTTGTCCCAGTGTCTTTAACAAACCTGCACTGTTCTTGCTTTATCTCTGGCCTGATTCTACTGCATGCTCTATTCATCAGAATACAGATGATGAGTTTTGTTACATGGCTCATTAGGCTGATTGTTCGGTGGAGTTCACATTTGTTTACATGCGCCTAGTTTCTTAGGCATTGCTATGAAGATAGATCTGCTGAGATCTTCCGGTATATCCCCTCTGTTGTAGATTTAATTTATTATTTCTGTAATCTTGTCCATGCCAAAGTCATCTAAGGCTGTCAGCATTTTCATTACAATCCTGTCTGGCCCTGCTGCCTTGTTTCTGTTCAATTTCGCCAGTGCAGTTTCTACTTTGGTTTTTAGAATTTCAAGCCTGTCAGTAGTTCTATGTATTGCTGGTTGTTCTCTTTCGTTGTGAAAGAGACCTCCAATATATTCATTCCAGCACTGAAGAATTTTTCCTTCTCTAATATGAGCGTTCCATCCTTTGATTTTATGCAACCTGTTAATGAGCCTGTCTTTTGTCCTGTTAGTTCCCTTATTTGTTTATGCATATCTCCTCTGTTGGTGGTACTCAATCTCTATTTCTGCACATTTTTTGTTTAGCCACACTTATTTAGCCGGCCTGCATTTTCCCCTTGTTGTGTTGTTTTCTGTATTTCGTCCCTTGTGTTGACAGTTTTCATGTCAAGAATCTTATCAATCATCCATTTGTTTTTTTCTTCTTTTGGATGATATTGTTTGATGATGTCACTAAAGCTTCACCTAGTGCATCCCATTTCAAGTTTCCATTGTGTCCCATGTATATTCTTTTCATACTGTCCATATATTTTTCTTTCAGGTACGGGTTGCTCAGGAGTTTGTTGCATTGCAGTTTGGGTGCTGCATTAGGCTTCTTCAGTTTCCATAGTTTCACTCTTAGTTTACATATAACAGGGCGATGATTGCTTCTACAATCAGCACTTGGCTAGGTTTTGAAGTAAACCATTGCATTCCTGAATCTTTTGTTGATAGTTATGTAGTCAATTTAGTTTTTAGTTTCTCCTCCTGGGATCCTCTTCCATCTTGGATGTTCTTGGAACCATGTGTTAGCTATTACTTGGTCATTGGCCATGCACCATTGGATCCATTTTTCTCCATGTTCGTTGCAGGTCTGAATTTTCCAGCAATATCCCCTGCCTACTTTGGTGTTCATGTATCTCATGATAATTATAACATCTTGCAATTTTCAATGAGCCTTAGCATTGTCTAGCATAGCATAGAAAGATTCAATTTCTTCTTCCTTACTCCCTGCTGGTTTAAATGGGTTCAGTCCAAGTAGCTCAATTTAAGATAGTTGTTTTTCTCTGGATGACAGGACTTTTAGTTGCCTGGGGCTTTACCCCCTGGATTCTTCTGAAGGGATTGGCAGAAGAGGAGGAAGAGATGGAGTTTTTCCTGTTAGGATGGATGCTGCAGATATACTATCTGTTCCATTTTGGAGGCCTTCTCTCCTCCTTTGTGTTTCCTCTCACTGTTGTGTTACATAGCGGTGGTATGACTGGCTATGACTAGCTTAGACCAGCTTTGACCATCTCAGACAATCTATGACCAGCTTAGACCAGCATAGACCAGCAGCCTGAGAGGAAACACTTGGGTTCCCACATTAAAAACTGACTCAGTGTGTGCGTATGTGTGGTTGGGGTGTATTAAGGTAAATCTCAGACTTTCAGTTGCCTGGTGAATTCTTGTCAGAGTAATTGAGGAATGAACAAATTTTCTGCTGCCTGGATACTATCCTAAAAACAATTTAACAAGTTATTTTCCCATAAGTATTGGAAAAGTTCCCTCAAAATGATCATGTCAAAAATACAACAGAACTTTCTTTCAATTCTAATATTTATTGCTACTTGGTAACTGAGTTGCTCTTGTCAAAGTTACTGAATTAATATGTTAATTGTTGGGATGAGTTGTAAGTTTTCAAATATATTCATGTTGGAATTTATTTTTGCATTGATGTTAAAAACAAAAAATAAGATTTTCTCTGAGATAAGAATTCATTACAAATTATTTAAATGACTTCCCTTCACCACCACAAAAAGGTATTAAGTTTTATTTTCCATGTGCACCAGGCTTGAGCAAATATTCAATTTCCAAACAACTGCTTACTTCCTCCTTTCAATTGACTAACTGCCTTGGAGCTGATCTAATTCTTGCACTTCCAGCTTCTTTTCATCATGGCTGTCTTCAGATTATAGAACTCTCGACTTAATATAGCAGCTGCTTTATATCCTTGTATTCAATGATAAAACACCTGTCATTGCAAAAGAAATGACACTTCATTTTGCCTGTTATTCTTGTCCTAACACCTGATGCAAGCTCGTTATGACATTTGTGACTTGAGAGAATTTGAGATTTTATAAGTGCCTTCACATACAAAAAAAAAACAAAAACAAAACTCTGAATAAATATTGATCTAAAAGACTAATAAATAAGACATTTTTAAAAATAGTGATTACCTAATTTCTTTGTCTTTTCATTCTGAAATATAGAAATCCAGTAACAATTGCTGGCATCAATACCAACAGCAAACAAGTAATGATGATGATGTATGCCTTGTTATCTGCTGAAATAAAAAATAAAAAAATAGAATAGTAATAACATGAGAAAGAGAATAAGAACAAAAAAATAGAATAGAATAATAATGAGAATAAAATAATAACAGAATAACAAAAACAGGATCATGTAATAAAAACAATAGAAGAATAGAAAAAAAATCAGAATAATTAATAATAACAGAATGATTAAAAAGAATTATAAAATTAGATTAGAAAAAGAATAGAATAGAGAATAGAATGATAAAAATAATATAACAGAAATACAATTAGAGAAAAGACAAATATGACAAAATGAATATGAATATAAAAAATTAAAGTAGAATAATAATGAGAATAAAATAATAGTAGTAACAAAGTAATAACATAGAATAATTAATAAACTAATTTAATTAATAAGAGAATTAGAATAGAATAGTAGAATAATAATGAGAATTGATTAATGTAGCATAATAATGGTATAATCATATAACAATAATGGAATTAGAATGATAAAATAGAATGATCATGAAAATAGAATAACAGCAACAGAATAAAATTAAAAATAGGAAAAATAGAATGATAATGTAGATAGAGTAATAGTAACAAAATAGAATAGAATAAATAACAATGAGAAAAATAGTAAAAAATGAAACAATTAGAATAATAGCAAAGTATATTTTCCTTGTGTTGTCAGATGTTTGAAATTAAGAAGATATGGAAGAAATAAATCATTAACTTAAGGAAGCAAGTGATGTCTGGCTATTCAGAGTTAGAATGATGTATAGCAGTGCAAAATCTTCTAAATGTACAATATATAAGTAAATGTACAATATATAAGTAATTATGTGAATTGAGGGGGGGGGATCTGAAGCAGGGATCAATTTATAGCATCTGTTCCTAATTAGCTTTAATCTGAGATATGCCTTTCCAGGAAAGGTAAACCTCTTCAACCTTAACCAGCCATCTATCTAGGAAAATAAACTGCAATAAAAACCTGTTGCAGGATACTGGTATATTAGGGTAAATATTTAGTCACCAGTATGTTGTGAGAATCAACACTTTGGATAGTAAATATTTACGGGCTCCTGGAAAATTTATCCCACAAACAATATTGTTAGACTCAATTTCAAAAGGAATTAAGATGAAACTAGCTATAATAAGAATGCGCTTGTCTGTGCATGTGCATAACAAGCGTGTGTGAGAGAGTACAAAATGTCAAGAGAGAAAAACCATGAAAATTGAACATTCTCAAGTAGGGTTCACTTTACCCACGTATGTACTACATCTTAAGACCATAGTTGAAAAGCTGTAAAAAGAGAGTAGGGAGAGAAATGCATGCCTTTTATAGATATAAAGAGCACCTCCAACCAAGCAATGGTTTTTTTGCAAAGTCAGGTGGGATAACCCACAAACCTACACTCCAGAGATGTTACTGCTATTATCCCATCTTAATGGTATTTACTTGATTCCCACAAAGTCAAGATGTGACACAAGGTCGTTTAACGTGGGAGATAAAAGTGTTTCCTCAAAGGCCACTGGTCAAAATTGGTCATAGCTTGTCCAAGCTGGTCAGAGCCTAGTCAAAGCTGGTCATGACTTGTCCTAGCAAGTCCAGGCCGGAGCCAGTCCAAACTAGTCAAAGCCTTGATCGAATCTCAGCCATAGGCCAAGAAACGATCCAATATTTGTCAAAAACCCCAGCCAAAAAATCGGCCGGGCGAATTATTATTATCCCATCTTAATGGCCTCAACAATTAAACACTCAGTTTAAATGGTGCAGACAGCAATGACCATACCACACATGATCCTAAAGAAATTTCAATTATCAAGTTTTATAGGAATAGGAGTAATACAAAAATGGTATTTTTTTGTAGCTGCAGTATAATGGCCTCCTAAGCATTTGTTTGGAAATCCATGATGAAGTATTTATAAAAGATGTTATAGATGATATAATTAGCATATAAAAATACGCTAAACATATATAATATTAATAAGCTGTTAAAAACTATAGAACACATTTGACCAGATAACTATTATTCATTTATGGTAGCTGTCTGGTGAGATATGTTTTCTATTACAGGACTGAAGAGTTATGTTTCAAAAAGCAGTGTGCCATTGGCATCATCTACACTAAAAAATTTTAGCAAAGTTTAACCTTTGGATCTATAAAAAAAAAAACAGTTCATCAAAAGGACAGGTTTTCTCTTGACACAGTTACTATTGTATACTCCCTTGAATCTCTTAGCAATATTTATTATTTTAAAAGTGATGTTTAGAATTTTAATAGCATAAAAAAATTTGTGTACTGTAGTGTTAGATAATTTATTTACAAGATTACAAAAAATATGTGAAGCAACTACAATGAAATATTTATGGTTTACCGTTTTATAAAAAAATATGAAAAAATCTTTTTTATTTAAAAATGTTTGTGCACTATTGAAGAAGAAAATTTAAATAATACTAGAGATTTTTCTAGACATTATACATTTTCTTAGATTATTTTGTATCTCAGATCACTTTTTCTACTTTTTTAATAATCATAACCAATAAAAATTATAGACATTCTGTAATTATACACAAGGAATACCTTATCCACTCAAGGAACAGTGAGATAGACACTCAAAATATTGAGTGTTTGTTGTTTCACCTAAAATTAAAAAACTGTTTAGAGGAAAAGATGCTCTCAACCTATTTTAGTGAATTTATGTGGTGAGAGAAAATGAAAGAAATACCTGGAAAATAATTACTGTTACTCATCATTACGTGTTTATTTAAATTTTATTGTTCAGACATTTTTATAAATATATGAATTAAAAAAAATCTCTTTTGATATGTATTTCTTTATGCTATATTTATATGGTCAATATCAGGGATAAAATATGTGTAAATATAAAAGAGGACATGGAAGTCAACACTGAGTGGCAGCAGTCTGTTTGATGCTTGAATGCTATCTTCAGGCATATATATATATATATATATATATATATATATATATATATATATATATATATATATCCAGGTAAGATGAGAATGAATAGAGTACAATTCCAACATTCGTAACATTTAATTTAAAAGAGGGCTCAATACTAAGGAGAGCAATATTATTTATTTTAGGATATTACACCAAAAACATGTCTAAAAATGCTACACAATTGTTGTGTTTTGATGCAAGTCAACACATCAGGCAATTGTTAATAACAATAACCAATCAATGCTAAATGTAAAATGTTAGCTGAATACTAATACATCAGTACAAAATGTTACTAACACTACCAGAAGATGAATAAAAAATAATATTAAATCTAAATTAATCTTACCAGCAGAAAGATAAGCCATATATGGTGCAACACAGTTCAAGTAAAATCCATTGTAGAGATAGAACAAAGATAAACTCTCTAAAATGGAAAATCCAAGGCTTGAAAATTTCTATATTGGTAGTACCAAGACTCCTTTCAAGACTCTGTGGTATTACCACATATCGTCCTTTACTAATAATACTTACAGAAATAATACATCACTTTTGAAATATTTTTTGAGTCTAAAAGAGGAAAAATAAAACTCCTAAGGTGAAATGGAAAATTTAAAAAATTTCAAGGACAGGTAGATCCTTATATGAACCTTGTTTTCTGTCTTTACAAGAAAAATTGCAAATTAACAGGTTCTTTGATAAGACTGCTTTACTAAACCAGAGATCTGAATTAACATTAAATTGTAAACACAGTATATCTTTTACCTTACAATTCTGCTAGATTTAAAATTTAACAATTACTTTTTCTTAGATTTTAGGTAAGGTTGATTTAGATTTAATATTATTTTGTATTAATTTTCTAGTAATTTTATTAACATTTTTTATAGATGTATTGGTATTTGGCTGACATTTTGCATTGATTGGTTATTGATATTAACACCTCATATAAAGAACCTTTTGTCAACAGTTGTATATTAATTTACTAAGTAAGACCTATATGTCTCAATTATTCACCAGTTTCTTAAAGAGGTTGTTTATTTATCAACTATAAAAAAAGCTCTCTTTTTTTCTTTTTTTTTTGTTGAAACTCACAGGAATGTAGGTTGTTTAGCTTGTTGATAGATTACCATTTATTTCTAGAAAATGACATTGTCTGGTGTACAATATTGTAGCCCTTTAAATCCACCTGGGTTTGGCATTTGATTGCCGTCTTTGATTCTAAATCTACAGGTCATAACCTATTTAGGAAAGGCAGCCTCTTAATTTTTGCTTCTTCACTTACACACAAATATTCTTGGGATAGGCATGAATCCACTCTCCTCACTCCACAGCTATTGATTAAATAGTAGAGTTTGTATCTTGAAAAATCATTGCTTTTCTCAAAAAGATTGTTAATGCAACATTCACTTACAAAAAAAAAAAAAAGAACTATTCTTACAATTGAAAATATGTTGTGAGTTCAAATAACCTACAAAAGTGTAGGTAAATTATAAAAACATTCACTAACCTGGAACAGACTGAAGAGTAGATTCCAGAAAGCAGTACATTGTAGAGATCATCTATGCTAAAACGTTTTATTAATTAAAGCCACTGACTTAAACATTTGAACTATTTAAAAAATATATTTATACAGACAATATCTATTTGGTCAAGGAAAAGAGATAAAAGTACAAATTCTGATTTAAGTGGAATATTTACGTGTAACATCCAGTTCCATATTTGCTGATTCTACCCATGGCAGATTTGCAACTGTAGCTTTACATAGGATGGTCTTGAAAGATCGGTGCAGGGTCAGTTTCAGAACTGATTTTGATTTGAAGAACTTCCCTGATACCTCATAAAAGATTTGGGCATTGGAAGTCACATTTCTGGAAGATCCACTTTCTTTATTAATTACCCATTCAATCTGGGGTGATGGCTTGGATTTTCCAACCAGGCATACAAAGCTCTTCTCTGTTCCCTCAAACAAGTCTGTGTTATTAAATGGTTGTATTTCAACTGTCTCCACAGGAACTGAAACATTGAGGAAATCACACATTTTAAGTCACCCAGAAAAGAATTCAATATTCAAAGAGTTTGTGATATATATAATTCAGAAAAATCCTTCTCAAAGAAAAACAAGCACATCTTAATACAATTGAAAAGAAAAAAACTGCTGGTAAAATTTAAATCTTTAGTCAGTTTTCAGTTATTGTACTCATTGTTCTCATCTTTGTTATTATAATCACATTTCAACTCTGCCTTTCTTCAGACACCTGTCACCATTGGTAACATTCTGATCCTTTCATTCAATCCATTTCACTGTCCATGTTGTATTTCTGGCTGTAAAACACAAATCAATCACTGTCTCTATTAGAGGATATCTTACATCAATTCTTCTTTCTTTATTAATGTCATTTGTCTTTTGCAAAGTATGACATTTTGAATATTGTGACTATATTAATTCTGCAGCCCAAAAATTCACACATCTTGGATATGACAATAAACTACATTTGACAGCAAGGCACCTGATCAAGAGGTTTTGAGGAGCATGGAACCACCTCTTAATTGCTGTTGTTCCCAGGTTCACCCTGACCAGGGGTGGTAGCACCTATTAGGGTCCCAGCAAATACATAACCCCCAAGCTGGGGTCAAAACACTATGAAAGTATAAAAATACTTTTTGATAGTAAAAATTATCAGATTTTCATAGTAAAAAAAATTACAAGCAATACATTTTTGTAAAAGAAATTACTAATGGCCACAAGAAAATTAAATTTTGGCATTAAATGGTTGATATGCCATAAAACAAAGCAAATCAAGAATTCACAGTTTTGAAGCATTGCTTATTGCATAATAAAATCACCATTTCTATTACTTTAAACTAGCAGCATGGCCCTGCGTTGCCCGTGCTTGATTCAAAAATCGTACGACTCATACAGCAATCGCTATCACTTGACTTAAAATATTTTTGCCCTTCCTTGCCTTTAAATGCTGTTGCTACATGCCTTACTTCTTGCCTATCTCACACTGCGAATTTTTTCTCAGCTCTATACTAAACATTAAATCTGTTACGGAAAAAGTACTAAACAAAATGAACACAAAATGATCAGCTTTAAAAAAGGACTCATAACTGGAAAAACCAAATGAAAAAAGAATGTTAACAACAAATACTTTTTCACACCCAACCCAGTTCTGTGGAATCAGAATCAACGTTGAGTTTAAGCAAGCAAATGAACCAATTGGAGTAAAGTGCCATGCAGATTTAAATTTTTCCCACTTGTGACGAATGCAGATATTGATTTTTTTTTGCATGCTAGTTAACATTCATGTCAGTCAGCTGTTGGCTCTCACGCTGGCCAATAGAATCTTCCTGCCTATTCATGGCAGCCAGCTATACGCTCTCACTCTAGCCAGTAGAAAATGGCCGCAAACTACATGAAAACTGCCGTAGAAGCATGAAAAAATCGATTATTTATATGGGAGTTGGGAAATGCAAAGTTGGTCTTGGCCTTCCTGCTAACTTGGAGCATGTGCATGTAAATTTTGGTGCAAATCTGTCGAAAATTGCGTCCGTGCATTCATTACACACACACACACACACACACACACACATCCTGCCTTTTATAGATAGAGATATTGCATTTTCTTGCAAGTGCTCCTGAGTTGTGTCCCTTTAATTCAGTCTCAGCTTTGATCTTTGAGAGAAAATGTATTTATGGAATTGAAAGTGAATTTCAGTTTGATTTTTAGCTGTTTTATCAACAGCTTGAAGCAAAATTTCCCACCAGCATTTTTCACCCACTATCATTGTTGGCATGCTCAAAGAATTTTTTTAAGGAAAATGATAATTTAATTTCTGCCTGAATTTCTGAGGTGAGGAATTATCATTATTTACATTCCTGTTGTCCTCATCTTTGTTGTTATTATCACAACAGGGCAATAACCTAGTGAATTAAAGCATTGGTTTGTGAATTTGGTAACATAGTAATTGTGAGTTCAATCACTGGGTCAAGTAGTGCAGAGTTAGACTAAGTGGAAACAGGACAAGCAATAACTGAGCATAGTAAATGAGCAAAATGAGATCTCTATATATATGGACAGCAGAATGAGAACAATAACCCTGTACATTAAATAAAGGGCTCAGTTCCAAAGAAGACCTCATAATTTGGAATCTGATGAACTGGTTGATCTTTTGAAAAAACAAAAGATGCAAAATATAAAGCACATGAAATTATAGAATAATTACAAGTCAACTCATTTGAATAAAACATTGAAAGAGAAAATACCTTTTACTGGGCAATTAAGTTGATCAGTGATTTTGCTGTACAGTGCCCATTCTCCTGTTGCTCAGATGAGGTCTCCCACATGCATGCAACTGTTTTCTCAGATCAAATAAAAGAAAAACTACATCACTTGAAGACTAACAGCAACAACAAAAATGGATTGCACATATAACTAGAAGGGAAAAATAATGGCATAATCAAGCTGTTAATATTCCAAACTACCTTAAACAAAAGGTTTGGAAGGAAACTCTCATCAATATGAAAAAGACCTTTCACTTTCAGGTGATTATTTGTTTGATTTTATGCAACATTTATTATCCTGTTAACTGTTCAAGCACCACAAAGATATCAAAAACATGTAAATATTTTCTGGAAAAAAAAAAAAAAAAAAAGTATTAATTTCAACTGACAATAACACTGTTTACTCAATGAATGCCCAATGTTTCCTGTATGGGAATGACTAATTTCACCAGAACTATAAATAGGAAGTGACTGAACATCAAGCTTAACAGCCACCTTTTGCAGCCTTTAAGTGAGATTACATAAATAAAAGATTTTGTTCATACAATGTTGGAAACTTACTTTCAACTTGTAGAGAATGTACATTGTAAAGTTTTGATACTTGCAGAAAGTAATGAGTAAAAAAAAAAAAAAAAAAAAAAAGAATTATTTCTTACCATGGACTGTAAATGTGTAGAGGTATAAATTCCCACGGCTTTCAACAAAACACCCAACAGAAGTGCCATCAAGGCTCATCTCTACTGGGCTTATTGTGAGAGTTGATGTGTTGTCTTTTCTATTGCATGTCAAGTTTCTGCCAGATGCTGGTGATACGTATTTAGGATTAATGCTTCCTTCATGTACAGCAAAGCATCTGATAAAATATGCAATTATCTGCCCTTGTTGATTGAACCACTTTGCAATTGGGAAAGTGGAATTATCCATGTTACAAACTAAAGAAAAATCTTGATGAATTACAGGTACCTGAGAGTAGTTTTGGGGATGGAGCTTTTTGCTGTACCCTGTAAGAAAAAACATCTGAAATTGAGGAAGTATTCTGTATAAATGTATTTGTTTATCACTATAGAAATAGATACATATACACACCTGTATATATTATGTGCATGTGCAAAATAGATATAAGGCAGGAGAAGAAAAACTTGGGAAATGCATATTTGAGTTGTTTAAAAAGACAAGTAGACTCAAATTTTAGATTGAAATGGTTGCTTCTACAAATGTTTGTCCTGGGGAACAGTTTTTCTTTTGGGGGAACAGTTTTTACTGCTACTATCTGGGCAGATAAAGAAGTTATGGGAAAATGGTTTGCCCATGTGCTCACTCAGTATTCTCTATCATTGATCATGGTATACCAATGACAAAATATTTTTGTCAAGTTATCTGATAATGTGCCAGTGTATGAGGAAAAGTGTATTGATCAGTCAATTGTGCTATGTGTGATACATGCTTAGGCAATCATGTATCTTTTGATACATGACTGACGAAGCAGATTTTTTCCCACAGTAAGTTGCTATTTCTTTCTGAGGTAGACCAGTTGCCATCCAAGGCTATAGAACCCAGTCTGTTCTGCTATTTACCCATAGCCGAAGGGAGAAAAAGAGGATTCACACCTTTCCCAATGGTATTAGCACATAAGTGAATGTAATGGATTTGACTGAAATTCAAATTCGGCTCTCCTATTCCTCAAGCTGAGCTGCTATCCATTATTCCACTGTGCCTCCTTGTGTATTGATACCTTTCCAAAACCATTTGTACCTCTAAATTCAGTGAGAATTTGAAATCCGTTCTGTTTTCTATCACAATGAGATAGTGAAACAAGCTGTGATAATTTAATTTGTTAAATGACCTCAATGTGTTGCAAGGATAATGGGTCATTATTGTACCCAAGCACATCCGGATATATTTCAACTTTTGCTTTCTTGAGATTCAGACTAGGTGAGACATGTATTGCCGAGCAGTAGAGAAAGTTGTATGCATTTATACATAAGTGCTGTATTGTGTGCAGAAAATGTGCGAAAACAATGTAGAGCAGTGAATTAACATCAAGTTTTGTGTGTAGATTGATAAAAGTGCTTGTAAAATGCTAACCCCCTGTTAACAATGGCTAACAGGGAACATGCTATGAAAAAGTTGAGTGTTTTTGAGTATATATGCATAAAAGAAAAGGGGCCAGTCAAAAAAAACTCAAGAAATGTAAATGTGGACAGAGTGCAAAAATCAAAGTTTAAGTGTGCAAGTGACAACAGAATTGAATATGAAAAGGGGATCAGTGTCATCAGATTCTAACATGACACATTAGGAATTTGCAAGTTTCTGACTAAGAAATTCATCACAAAAATGGACCGAACACCTTCTTCACCAGATGTAGCCCAAAGTGATTTTTGAAAATGTCCTGAAAGAACAAAGATTTGCAAACATCCAGAAAATCATAACTACATTACTGAAAGGTATTTCTGAAAACAAGTTCCAAGAACGTTTTCAGCAATGCCATCATCATCTTACTCAATACCTGGTTTCATAAAGGGAATACTTTGACAGTGACAACAGCCAACAATGACCAAATATACAAACTTCACTTTCACCAGGCCATTCCACGAATTAAGTTGTTACACTTTGTATATCACCTGACAGTTCTATTCTGGATTCTCAGACTTATGAGTAAATAGAAAAGTTGGACATTTACTTAGTTATTTACACTATTCAAACTATTGTCCTCATCTTTGTTGCCATATTCACATTTCGACTGTTGTGCACTCTGGCCTTGTTCAGGGGATTGGAATTTTGAACTAAACCTTTTACTTTGTCCACCAGAGTAGATTGTTCTACTTCCACGTGCCATGCCTCTTTCATATGTTTCAATATCTGTTATCTCCCTTTTAACTCAACTCTCCAAGTTTTTTTTTAGTTTTTTTTATCTCAACCAGGTATTAAATTTACAATTCTTTGGGTCAAATCCCTGAATTCAACCAATGCTTTTATCCACATGTGTCCTTGAGGAGAAAAAAACAATAATAACAACAAAATTTCAATATTACTTCTACTAAAAATGGTTACTGAGACATTAGGTTTATAAGTCCCCAAAATTTTATATATTGATGTCCTCAAGAACACATGGCCTAGTGGATAAAAGTGTTGGTTCAATCCAGTGACTTGACCCAAAGTGTGAGTTCAATACCTGAAGAAAAAAAGGGTTTAATTTGAAATTCCACTCAACAGAAGGCTGGAGCGTACAATGGCTGAAACATTGTGAATATGGCAACAAAGATGAGGAGAACAGTCTGAACAATGTAAATAGTATAAATAATTACAATACTTCCTCTCAGAAATATAGACAGATATTTACTTACTTCCTACTAAAAGATTTTTCTTGATGTATTTTCCATTTGTCTGACATGTGATATAGTCAGTGTGGTCAAGCCTCGTCAGGTTGAAAATGGTCAGAATAGACCTCATGTTTTTGCGGTCACATGTCACCTTAACATTGTTCTCCCATGGATTGTTTTTCCTGTTCACTTCACAAGGTGATTGACAATTCTCACATGTGGCCAACACAATGCTATAGTGAAACCATGTGAGATATCCAATCTTTTTAAACAAGCATTGAAAGCTGAAGCTTTTACCAATCTCAGCAAATGCTGTTCCATTTAATGGCTTGAGCACCAGAGCATCTGTAGACACTGCCAAAGAAACTAATAAAAGAGACAGTTTAAAAATCAGAATCATAAATCATCATCCCAAACTCTGTCCTAACCATTCTAAAAATGAAAATGACAAAATAATGTAAAGTCAGAAAATTTCATTAGAAACAAAGATAAGAGTGTTGAAATGCTATGTAGTATAAATCTTCCTATATGGCAATAAATATTGGGTGATTTCCTCACAAATGAAGAGGAGACTTGAAGCAACAGAGATGTGGTTCTACAGAAGCATGCTGAGAATGCCACAGATGGAACATGCAAGCAACAAGGAAGTTTCAAGGAAAATGGAAACAAAAAAGACATTTATACTTAGAATCAGGAAGAAATTTTTTAAATTGCTGTGACACATGATGAAGAAAGGGGGCTTGGAAAATTCAACACATAATATACTGAAGGTAAGATGGGTAGATTAAAACAGCAAGTAACTTATCTAATGAGTTTGTAGAAATGGATGACAGAACAGGGACTGGGAAGGATAGTAAGTGGGTAAACATTGTTTAGAACTACAAAGGATAGAAAGTTGTCGAGAGCCATGATCACCCATTTCCAGAAGAGACATGGTACATAAAAGAAATGTTTATTAGATGTTTGCAAAAGTTCTCAGTATCTTCTTTTTTGACAACTAATATTCATTTCTTTAAGAGCCATGTCCTTTCAGGATATAGGTGATCATAGCTCACCACAGTTTCCTTTTCTTTAGTATCTGTAAATTGTTGTTGATTGTTCTTTGGAAAGATAGTTGAATGGTTTCCTGTTGCCTTTTTCACAGTTTTGAATTCAGAGTTATTCTTCCTCTAGGCTGGCTACCAACCAAGGCTAGAGAGCTTGGTCTTTCCTGCTATTTAGCCTGTAGATAATCAGGAAAGTGGAGAAGATACAGATTCATGCCTTTAATAAAAGCATTTTTTTAAATCATTTCACTCCAGGCAAGGTGATAATGCCATGTTTTATCCTTAAAGATGTTACAAACAGACAAAGGTGGTACTCAAGTGAAGGAACAGCAACACGTGTGTAGATGAAAGAAAGAGAAGTTTATTGTAAAAAAGAATCCATTATTGAAAGGCAGGGAATCGGGTGGCAGGCTAGTAATTCCTGAAACAAGCCCCCAGGTATATCCTGTGCTCATTATATATAGCTACTGATATAATCAGTCCACATAGACGATAGGGAGTGTGGGACATTCCATTACAACATGCCACTAAAATGTTAAGGATTACTGAAAGTAAAAGAAAATGAGAAAACGTTACTGAGGAAAAAAAACAATAAAAGAATTAGATTCAGAAAAACAGAAGATGGGGATTGATGTTGCATTCAAATTTTTGAAGATCATAGTTCACAGGAAAGGGAGAAGTCATAAGTTGGAATAGAGTTCCATAGCCGGGAAGTGTGAGAGAAGAAACTATTAGAATATAACTTACGGTTAAATCTAGCTATTTTAACAGTAAAATGTTGAGATCTAGTTACACCCGACCTGATGTAGCAGCAGTATTCAATATTAATATGAAATGAATACAAATTCTTTCAGCTGAAATTTGAACTCTGTTCACTGATTTTATTTCCTGCACTATTAATATTTGCCTCCACCAGAGATTGAATCCATCATTTTTTTTAGATAAAAAAAAACACTGTATATTTTTGTACACATCTAATATTTTTGAGGTTATTATATCATGTGATGTGGCCAAACCATGTCAGCTTCAGATGCTTAATAGTGGCAAAGGGAGATCCTGTCAGCCTATGAAACTTTTGACCTTGCTCCATATATAGTCACACAGACCATCATGCAAGGCAGTGTTGAAGACAGTTGTAGGTGGTGATGGCAATGCAAGAGCTGGTCAGACAACATGAAAGAGCGGACAGACATGACAATACTTAGTTATATACAAGACTTGGCGTACTATACTTCAGGCCTGCTCACAGTGCAGCTGAGAGCCAGAACTGGAGGCATATTGAAAAATGTTTGATTTTCCAAAATTTTGGAAGAAAATTATGTTAACTCTTTTTGAAAATACTTAGAATAACATTTTGTCCCATATCTGAGGATAATAGGATGTGTTGAAAGTTAAATGAAAATATTTATTTTTGTTGTGGACACTGATAAGTATTAAACAAAACAAAGAGGTAGTTAAGTTTTCTGGTAAAAGAGGTGATCTACATAATGCTGAAACAGAAACAGTCACACAATTTACAGGTCTCACCAAACCCTTTATTCAATCTACCCCCAGGGATTGAGTAAAGAGTCTAGTTCAAATTCCATTAAAGTTACCGGGTTCAACATACAGTACTTGATGAAAACTGGAGGGCATCAGTTAAAATGTGTCTATGACAATCAATAATCTCAGATATATAGAAAGATAAAACAAAATCATTCTAGGAAAGTTTCAAAACCTTTAAAGCTGCTTCTCTGTCTGTTTGCAAAAGTTTTTCAAAACTATATTTGCTAAAATTTGAGCATCCTTTCTCTTCATGTTGAAAAAATGAGACTCAAAAATAAGCATAAAAATGTTACTTAATGATTTATAACACACTTTTTCCTTTATTGCATGGAAAAGAATTAAATAAAAAATAACCATTGGCAAGTGTGGTCAGAAGTAACGTTTAGTTTCCATGGTCAGTTGAATTGGTATATTTTCCATACTTTTCATAATAAAAATGGGTTTCATATTCACTGGATTGATTATTATTTCTTGTAATATATCCAGCTTTGTATACTAGAGACATTTTTATTTCATCAGAAAGAGATGGTTGTAAAATTTCAAGATTGCCAAATATTTCTGAACCTTCCTCACAAAGTTTCTAATCACAAGATGTATATTGGTGACCTAGCTTAACATCAAAAGCATCAATATTTACATTCTAATTTAAAAGTAAATATGTCTACTTAATATTCAGTTTTTCAATATGCTGTTGGACATTTATAAAATAGTTGCCACCTGATCTTTGATGAAATTTACTAAATTCTTTTTCTAATAGATCAGTTGTAAATTTCCCAAGTAGCACATTTACGGCTTGTCAACATAAACTAACAATTCTGTTTCAAGTATGGTGTATGGTAGTAGTATGTTTAAATAATTGTTTTATACAATTACCTTGACTGTCAGCCATTTAAAGAGCCATTTGACCAAACTCAATGATAAAATCAAGTCTGCTGTCATTCAGAGATCTGATTTCAGCTTATAGAGAGTCATTGCATAGTTTATCAATTTAAAGGGTCTTAACATTTAAAATTTTCCATGTCAAAACCTTGTTTCTGAAGATGACAGTATCACTGAGCAAGTAGAAATGGATTGTCAACTGACTTACCAAATAGTTGTGTGCCATGATATAATAACATTTTCTTGATATATACTTCATAATGGAGAATTATACACCCTTTTTGACTGGCATTAAGAGTATTAAATATGGTCGAAGTTTACGGTCAAGTAAATTGATACAATTTTTGATCTCTGTTCGAATTAATTTTTTTTTCCTTACCGTGAAAAAAACTGGAAAAGATTACTACAGGAACGATGAGAAACCACTGTGAATTTTCCATCTTCTGTGCACGGGAACAAAATAATAATCTTCATAAAATAGGTTAATTGCTATTTTAATAAAAACACAAAAAATCAGTTTAGCTTAATGAAAAAAAGAAAGATGATAAATCTGCTTTTATTCGCTTGCAGTGTGTGTAGCTCTGCTTAGTTATGCTTCATAGAATTTTACATCGGTCCCTTCAATCCACAATGTGAATAGTTCTCATTCTGCTTTCCACACTTTAGAAATATGTCATAAGACTCACCAGATATATTTAAGTTGTAAAAGAAGAAAAAAAATTAGCTGGTACCTTCAAAAATTCACTAAATAGATTATTTTAAAAAAATGCCCAAAACAATTAAAATAAAATTTCACTGTCAAACAAAATCTTCGTCTTCGAGGAATGATCAAAGGATTTTTGATGTGCAAATTATTTTTTGTCCTTTGCAAATTTTTATTAAAAAACTTGTTTTGCTGCTACCAAAGTTGGGCCTTAAATTTGTACGGGAAATTTGAGTCTTTTTGTTGCAAAAAACACATTGATTTGGAAATTCCTGCAAAACTCAGAATTGTCAAATGAAACTTTCAGGACTTATTCACAAATGAATGAAATTATTTTTAGATTTTTCTTTTTCAGAAAATCTTTGTAAAAATATGTTTTTAGTATTTGTTATCCCCATCCCTCATTAAATTTTATGAAATTCCAAGAAATTCTTTTTTGTAACTTTGTATCAATCAATAGATATTTATATTTGTTATAAGGACAATTCCTCAGAGAATTTAAATCATCAAATTTTTTTGGTTAAAATAAGATTCCTAGTAACAGAAAATCTGCTCTGAATCATAAAATAAAAATGCAATAAAACTAAGACATTATTTAATGAGAAAAGCTTTTAATTACTTTTATGAATATATATTATGGACACTATTGTCTTAAGAAAGAAATAATTATTTGATAAATAATGAATTTTTATAAGAATTGTATTCATTTTTTTACATTTAGAATAATTTTATAACTAGAGATTGTGCTTGCTGTGGTCACTACTTCTAACTAAACTAAAATCAGTGACAGTAAAAATTTCTAGAAGTAAATGACAAACACACATTTTTTTGTTTAAAAATGAAATCAATATATTTCCAGAAAAATTATATTTTTTTAGACATTGTAATTGTATGGACGTGTTTGTCATTGGGCTTGATGCTTGACTGTTGTGGCAGAACAACTTGTTCTGCACTGGACAGTGTACAGAGGACAGAAAAAAGGGGAAAAAAGAAAGATTTTTGAAATTGCACGCCTTTTATATTGATGCCACGTGACCCTTGTCCCATGATTAAATGTCTAAGGGAGGTAATTCCACTTTTGCCACATTTATCTCTCTATGTTCTTGTTCATTTTATTTTTATTGTTTTTTGGTTTCTAAAAACTCACTAATATCAGGCCACCTAACATGATTTTAACCAATGCTTCCATCCATTATAATGAAAGTTTTCATTAAAAACACATTGCCTAATGGATTAAAGCGCCAGTTAAAATATACTGGGTTCTCTGGCAGTTTAGTTCAATCCCTGGGTAGTGCTGAAAAGTCACAGATTCTGGTTGAGTGAAAAAAACGGACAAGTGACAGAAAGATAAATAAGACTGGTGAGTGTTATGAAATATCTTCTGAGCATAGAAATCGAAATGAGAACTATCTACCTTATGGATTGAATAAAGTGTTCAGCTTGAAATTCCAAGAAGGTTACTCTACAGTGACCCACCGGAAGAAGGCCAGTGGGTACCAAGGCTCGAACCTTGTGAACATAACAACTAAGATGAGCATGTTGCTCTGAACTGTAACACATGTGCACTTATAATCCTGTTATAACTTATGAGGGTTGGCTGAAAAGTTCATAGGCTGTACAAGATACTCTCATGGAATGTAACTAAATAAAGTTTAGTTTTCAACATAGACGCCTTGCAGTTCACACACTTCTTCTTTTGGTGTTGCAGTGCTTGTATCCAATTGGTAAAGAAGTTATCCTGTTTGTAAAAAAAGTTATCAACAGCAGATATGACGTCATCATCACTGTGATACTGAACCAAGTGTTTTTTGTGTTTATCTCAGATGAGGCCAAATCAAGAGAATAGGGAGGATGCCACAGTCACGCACAGCAGCCATTGAAACTAAGGACTTGTGGCTGGAGCATTGTCTTGGTGAAAAAGGACTGATATCTGCTTCAATAAATCCCAAATTTGGCTTGATAGCCTTTTTGTAACTGCCTCAGCCAGTTGGCATAGTACTCCATTGATGGTGTGGCTTTTGAAATAGTCAATAAAAATTTTCAAAAAAAAAATTGAGGCCATCATTTACCCTGTCAATGAGGCGAGGAGAGTTTTTTTCGGGATTGACACTCAGTGATGATCAGGTGACAAATAATGAAGATGTGGCGGGGACACTGTTGATCAGGTGACAGAAGATGTGGCACCCACTGAGAAGATACCTTCATCATGCCAAGTTGATAGTGCAGAATATTTTCAACTCTTTCATGGGATATGCTAATAACATTGACTATTTGATTTATAATCAATCACCTGTCATCCATCACCATGTGGTGAACACGGTCAATGTTTTCTTTGGTGGTGTTAGCTGCAAGGCGTCCAGTCCTTGGATCATCGCCAAGACTCTCCTTTCCCCTCCTAAATTCAGCTGTCACTTTTGCACTGTTGATAAAGCTGAAACGTCAGTCCCTAATGTAGCAAACCTGTCAGAATGAATGTCCTTGGAGGCTCAAACCTATTTCTGTAATACATAATAAGACGATACCAAATTTTGTCCATTTCAAAAGAGATTGCTTCTAGTCTTTTTGAAGTCTTCTTTGAACAGTCAGATGTCAGTTTACCAAGAAAGAAACAATACAGCTATTAATAAGAATTGAAATTAATGCAGGTAAGATTTCACAGCTCTAGAATCATTCCTTCATAGCCTATAATTTTTTCAGCCCACTCTCATATATTTGATAAAGATGAAAATGTGGATTTGTTGGTCACAGAAGAAAAGAAACAAAATTCCCCTTCGATTTATCACACACACACAAACATATACAAAAGCTTGTGTCAAATTGACAGGAATCACAGCTTTTTAGGTACCACCAAAAATGGATACATAGGTACTTTATTTAATTTTTTTTCGAAATGTAAAAAACAAATCTAATCTGTTTTATTTTTAATGATTCACCAAAATTCATGAAATTACATGATTTAAATGAAATTTTCAAAAATTATTCATTAATAAATTTTAAAATGTATACTAGATATGTTATTTCATTAGAAAACTTTTGTGGGAATATTTTTAGGTCAGTTTCACTCCCTTTTCGATGTACTTTTAAGTTTGGGGTGTGTTCACAAAATCTTTTTTACAATTATATAAAGAAAAATACCTGATGTTATTTCAGTAAAGTTTTCTTTTTTTTTTAATTACGTAATATCAAGTGTGAATATCCTGAAAATTAATCCCAAACCTTATCAAAAATAATTCAATAAAACTCAAAATATAATTCTTGTTTACAGTTAGTGCTTGCATAATTTAATTTGACAGGAAACAAATCAACACTAACTAAATTATTATTAAAAAAATTTACAGTTTTTCAGAGTGATATTAAAATTTATCCTGTTGCTGTTCATAACAAGAATTTTTTTAATATTGTTACCTGTTTGAAGAATCGAAAGTTAATGGCATTTTTGAGTATGAACATTTAAAAAGAAAACTTTTATTTCATTTTTTTTTCAAATGATAGATTATTTTTGTGTGGACGTTCAAAAAGAAAATATGCTGTGATAGTGATTGCTATGAAGAAGACAATTGTGAAAAGTAAGTTTTTTTTAAGAGAAAAGAATGGACAAAAAGAACGTCTCTTTCTTTTTTAAGTGCCGAAAATTTAACTGGATATGATTATTCTCTTTGATTATTATTATTATTTTAACTTTTAAAATCTGGTGATAATATTTTCAGTGTTTTTAAAAAAAAGTTTGCATGATCTTTGGAGAGGTATATAACTTTTTATGGCCTTTAGTCTGAAAGAAATCAAAGTTGAAAGCATTCAGTTTTTTACTACTCTATCAATTCAACAACTCTGTCAATTTCCCCATGTTTTGAATAGCAATTATTAGATTTCCTTAAAATCAGAATAATTTTTAAAAATCTCATTGCATGCAATTAAATATTTTATGACATCACGCAGGTAAGAAAATCGTTAAAATAAAAAAAAGCAATGAACTCGGTTATTTAACTATTTTTTAAAATCTTTTTTATATGTACTATGAGAGGATAAAGAACAAATAGGAAACGTTATCAATCTAAAACGTTTCACTTTTTAAATCTTTATCAGAGAATTTTAATAAAAGTGAAATTTGTTAGAGTTAGATTGAAAAATGTTTCCTATTTGTTCTTTTTTTTATCTCATCGTTCTGTCAGATTCCGACCCCAACTCATAATGTACTATAAAAAAAAAAAATCAAATTATTAATTCTACTAAACTTCATAAAAGCGTAGAGAAATAAAAATTACGTTCATAAACTATTTGTTAAGAATAATTCATTTTTCAACATAAACAATGCCATTTTCATGATTGTTGTAGTGCTGGTTTTATATTTTTATTTGATTGTTTCGCGCGCTTTTTAAAAGTTTAAGTGTGTCAATATAAGATTTGTTCAGAACACACCTATGATCTTGATGACAGATCACGGGCTACCATATCCAAATAAACATTATTTTCACTGTTTTAAGCAAAAATTGAGCATTGCTTTTACAAAATCCAGTTTAAACTGTAGTGTAGATGTAAATTTACTTTGAAACAAATCTCTAGAATAAATATTGGATTTTTTCAGACATTCTTAATTTTGTTTTCATTTTTCCTCTAATCATTAGAGGAAAAATGAAAAATGAAGGCTGGATGAGTCGATGTGTGATCGTTTCAATGTAAAAATGTCTAAAAAAACATTAACTACGTACAATTATTTATGGTTATTACAGATTGGTCTATTATTTTTAAGATAAAACCAAAATTTTACTTTAACTAATTAAAAATGTGTTTTTCATTTTTTTTCTTAGCAAGTACGTGGCGGTACTTAAATTGATAATAAACACTCAGATGTTCTAAAAATAAATGCTTTCTTTGTACTCGTAAATAAAAATATTGTCAAACAAACACATCGATGGTTCGTGCGCTGAGTTTGGGACTTGACATGAGTTGCAGGGAGTGGCCTTTAAAACAGAGCTCTGCTAAAACGTTTTGCGATTGACCAATTTGGAAATAGGAATTTGAAAGAATCTACATACGTTCCAACTAATTTCTTGGTCACGTTTTGTTTTGACAACGTTCCTAGTTTTTCCCGTATGTCGTTCGGGTTGTGTTTTTAGGAATGACAATGTTTAACATTGTTCTGTGTACGTTTTACTTTTACTTTTAGCTTTATTTTAGACATAAGCGGAGCCAAGCGTTTTTTTTTTTGTGTGTGTGTGTGTGTGTGTGTGTGTGTGTGTGTGTGTAAGCGAACGCCCAATCCTAGATTTCATAACTGCCCCCACTCTCTCTCTCTCACACATACACATACATGTTGGGCATTTTTCATCTATTCATGCAATGAAAATCCAAATCTGCGATGACCGCAACTTATTCTTTAAATTATTATCCTTAAACTAAACTTAATTATTAAATCTTAAAAATTAGTAAGACAAGACGATATCTTTAAAACTAAAAAGTAAGTCAAAAAAAGAAAAAAGTTTTTCGTTATGTAACACTCTAATTGAGTAAGTTGTAAAACGATACCTTTTTTTGAGGAAAAGTTGTTACAGACTCGCCCTTAATTTTAAAAGATTAATTCAACCATCATGCACATATTTGGGGAAAAATCGTAAAGAAAAAAAAAGTTTTTACAGAATGTTGAAAAATAGCTGACAAACCCAATCCCAGTGTTCTAATTTTAGGAGTTTGGTTGTAGACATCAAATCACTTGACTTTAAACTAATCTCAAATTCTTTTTTCTGGTATACATTTATTACTCCTTTCCTCACTTTACCACTTTACTTTTATCATGGGAGTGGTGGGGATGGGAAAGAAAAATATGGAAGTCTGAAAGGGACAGAAAAACGTATTCATGAAGTTTAAGAAATATCGTGGCCATTAACTTCTGCATTTGAAAACTAAGTTCAAAATAAGATGGATACATCTTGATACAAATATATTTAAAATTGTTCATACATGATTAGATTCACTCTTACATAAGCAGGGTGCCACAAAATAAAATGAGAGAGTATCGCATCAGATGTTAGTAGGTGTGTGTGTTGAAATCAAATGTTAAGTTTTAAGGAATCTTGATTCTGTATTTTTTTATCTGATATATTTTTGAGATGTATTATTCAACTGTAAACGTTTTTTTTATGTACACATTTTTTCTTTTCACTTGTACTTATTTTCATACAAAAATGAAGGGATCCAACAAAGCTGAAAATGGTTGACCTAGACTTTAACCTTTAGCCACCAGGTGCAGATCTGCACTATACTCAATATCAGGGGGTGCCTCTAACATGTAAGCATCTCATTGACGCAGTTGTGCCTGGGATGTTGTTATATAGGAATAAAGTGTTGCTGTTGACACTGGAGTTTGAACACAGATCACCAGAGAGCAAACACAAGAGATCCCATTTTGAATAAGTAGATCATGTGATGGTAAAGGAAATGTATATATGGGAATTAGCGTGGCATCTAAAAGATAACTATATGGATTACTATTTAGTGGTTACTTTTCGAGCGAGTATTATTGAGCAAGTACTATTAGTGCTTGTGTTATTCAAATGAGTCTGATACCACTATTGTTCAACAGCGTTACTACAGTTGTATCTCCAAAGTCTCTACTACAATGAACATTACGAAAGTAACAACAAGTATTTGTTGACATTACAAAAGTGGCAACAAGTGTTGTTGACATCCCAAAGATGTGTATACATGGAAAAATTTGTATTTAAAAAAAAAAAAATTGATCACATTTACTCCAAGCAGGCCAGTAAAGCCACTAATTCACAATGGGTTACTGGGTGAGAAAGAATTAGAAAACAAACATTATGAAGGAGCAAGAACAATAGATGAGTAATCAAGAAGACAGTAGATAATGATTGCATTTAAATTTGGCTGGAAAGCATGGAGCCAAAAGACAGTTCCACAAGCAAGAAGTGTGAGAAAAGAAACTGTTAACATAGAACATTATACAAACTAGCCAAAACGTGGCTGAGACTAGAATGTAATGTGGCCTCAGGGTTGTCCACCCACAATATGTGCAGAGATATGGGGCCTCAGATTTGCCTACTGGAAACATATACAGGGACACCAACACATGCACGACACGGCACTAGAAATACCTGATATTATGAGACTGTTAATCAGAGCAGCCTTTCTAAATGCTACCAAAGTCTTTGGGCTCCTTACTACCAGTCAGATGCAGCACCCAGTGAACTACTGACTCAATAGACTCACAACGGAAAGTTGGAGCCACTGATTAGTCAGATCACCAAAACAGCTAAATCATTATGGCTTTGGAAGAAAGAAAGAACCAGTGAACCATACCCTAAACAGGGAATAAAGTATAATCTACTCCTGTTCAATAAACACAGGAGTGTAATAGGTGAGCCTATCTGCTATTAAATGACAGGTAAGATATATAAACAGCCACTTGAGAGGGAAGGGAGTTTCTTACATCCTGAGTAAAAATATAGAATCCATGCTTGGAGAAAACTCCACAGCCACACATCCACCAGTCTTGATGAAGTCAGGGGTTGAAAAACATATAATGTTGCATATGAGAGATTAAGCCTTGTGTTATCATTAAAATGTACAATAATAATTTAACACACATCCTTGACTTTTTCCCTAATTTCCAATTCATGGGGTTTAGTCATCTATTCCTACTACCAGAAATATTTAGTTTGTTTTATTAGTTCAGAACATAACTAAAGCTAAATCAGGGTGTAGAGGAGCTGTTGAGTAGTAGTAAAGTGAGTGTGTATGAATAAGAAAAATGCAGATGATGCAAAAATATCACCAATTAATTTTCATTTTCTCTATTTACAGTATGAAAGTTATCAGTCTTTTTTATCTATCTTTTTATCTATCCCTATCAATCTGAATCTGCTCATATCTATCTATTTATTTCAGTCCGTTCATGCCTATTCATATCTGTCACACTTTATTTATATCTTTCACAGGCTATTCATATCTATCTCAGTTTGTTCATGTTTATCTCTCTATCTATTTATATCTATCACAGTCTATTCATAACTATCTCACTTTTTTCTAAAATAAATTTCTGCATATTCTTTAGGATAGATCAAGTGTCATGGGGAGCCAAATCTGGATTGGGTAGGGAGATTGGCAGTCCTGAGTGGTGAGATATTTTGCCAAAATCCCTGCACAAGATGTGAGGAATCTATTTTCTGCTGATAGAGTAAACCCAATAGACAGCTTTTGTTCATGCAGGTGCAGTGAGATCCCCTCTGATTGATTGCCAAGTTATCTAAATGCTGCATAACCATTTCTTGAGATTTTCAGAATGGCTGTATATCTTATAAACAAATTTTGTATAGAGGCAAGCTGTTATTAATGTTGGTCAAGAAGAAGTGCCTGTTTCAACTTAATTTTAAGATTATTTGAACTTATTTTCTGAATTATAAAGCTTCTAGAATCTCAAGGTAAAAACTTGCGGAGTTACCTTCTCTTTTCCTACCCATATTCCTCTTTCAAAATGGCTGTCCCCTCTGGGCACATAAAGAATGCAAAAACTATCCTGGAGCTTGTTTTTGAAAGAAGAAAGTGCATCAAACATTCACAGTAGTTTAGTGAATTTTTATGGAAAAGCTGTACTTGATATAAGCACAATAAGATGTGTCAGTCAAGTAAATCCTAGAGAGTAAAGAAAACTTGACTTTAGTGATGGGCTTCATAGTGGTAGATCAGTTGCTGCTGTAAATGAAGTAAAGCCAAACAAGCTGAAGCTCTCACTGCAGCTGCTGGAAGAATCACTATTGCAAAATACTGTAAAAGCATTCAGGTAAGTTATGAAAGTGTTTGCAGTTTAGTACAATCTCTTGGATAGTCAAAGTTCTGTGCATGATGACTGATTCCAAGAAGCAGAAGAGAGTTGGTTGCTATCCAGGAACATTTGGACTTGCACATTACAGTACTTTTTTAAGCCTATGAAGAAGGCACTTAAAAGACAACAATTATCCATTGAATGACGAGTTGAAAGAGACATCTCACAAATGGCTAAGAAGGTAACAAAGTAATTTCTACGGTGGATATAATACCTTTATTCAAAAGGGGAATACTATAATTGAGAGGGAAGCAGACTATGTTGAGGACTGGATTTGGAATTCTGAGACTTTTTTGTCCATTTTGCTATGCTTTGTGTCCCTCTATACCAAAATTTGTTGTAATTAAAAGAAATAGGTATTCCTTTTTGACTGACCCACATACTATGCAGATGAAGTGTTGTTTGGTGTTGCAGTATTAATAGGCACACAGTGATGGATCTTCTGCTCCCATCTCCCATGGGTGCTAAAAAATGCTTAATTGAACTGCTGGATATATCTAGTATTTCCTGCATTGAATATGGATGCAATTTGAACCAGTACTATTCATCTGTTACTACAGATATTTTTAATTTCTGTTTTGGTTTTGAGTTGAGAAATTCTCATCATACATTGACTGGTTGAAACTATTGTTCTCATCAGGTAGTGAAAACTCACATCCTCTGATTCTGCAGGAATGACATCACAGAGACAAAATAACAGAAAAACTATTATAAGATATCTTCTGTGAACCAATCTGAAAATAGCTGGAGGATGCATGGCTAAAATATTGTCTAGATTTATGTTGTATAGTGAAATCAACTTGTCTAGATAAAATACAAAGAAGTATCTGACCTGACAGTACAGCTTCAATCATTTTTCCACTGCCGTAATAGAGCTTCCCTGTGCCTTTTGTATAAACAATTTTATGACAATTACTCTGATGAGCTTTCCTCTTTTGTACTTTGACTTCATGATTTTAAGACCCCTCTCTGCCTTCCATCAGTATTCCTCCATTAATCTTTCTGAGAGAACTTCTCTCTACCAACTATCAGCTCAGCTAATACTAACCTTCAGGAAAGTAACTCATGCTTTCTTGGGCTAACATTCTCAGCTGACATGAAGTAGAAAGACTATACTGAATCCATTGCTCAGCTGCTAAGAAAATTGATTCACTGTGTCATGTGAGAGAATTTTTTTTCTCCAGAATCTGTCATACATATCTCTAAATCTACCATTCACCCATGCTTAGAATATTACTGCCACATATGGTCCAGTGCTTCTGCTACTTACCTCAAGTTCCTTGATAAAATCCGAAGAAAAATCAGCAATATTATCGGTCTTGATCTGGTGGCTCAGCTTCAGTCACTTTCTCACTACCATAATATTGTGCTTTTTATATAAATACTTTCATGGTAATTGTTCAGATGAGCTCTTTGCTGTGATACTTAGACTTTATGAGTTTAAGGGCAATACTCAACTGGTGTCAAGATCTCATCCATTTATAGTTGAGCTGGATGTAACCATAAATTCTATGCTAACAGTTTCTTCTCTCGCATTTCTCACTTGTTGAACTCCCTTCCAGCCTTATGCTTTCCAGCCAACTTTAATCTTCAAAAATTTAAATGCAATATCAATCACTATTGACTGTTCTCCTGATTATTCTTTTTGTTCATGACTATTAGTAATGTTTCTGTTTCTAATTCTTTCACACCCAGTAACCTCTTGTGTCTTAGTAGGTTTACTGCCTTACATGAGGTGAACTTGATTAAAAAATAATAAAGAAATAAAGAAGCATAGTACTAGATTAGCAGTTAGGTCTCATCATGTTACTGTTGAAATTGCTCATTATAACTGTAAGTTGTATTGTAATAATTTCTCCTCTTACACTTGCCTTGCCTATGGAACTCTCTTCTAGCTTCTTGCTTAGCTTTTAGCTATGACCGTCAAAAATTTAAATGGAATGTCAATTGCTACCTTCTGTCTCCTTGAGTCCTGTTCTTTTTATTGTCCTTTCTCCTCAGTAACATGTTCTCAGTTTCCTTCAAATTCAGTAACTTCTTGTGTCTTAGTGGCTTTATTGCCTTGTTTTGGGTGAAATGATTAAAAAGAAAAATTTCAGTTGTTGACTGTTCGCAGTTTTTATAAAAAGCCTTAGGTTTTGTTTGATTTATCTTAATGCTTTCTGAAATGTACATACGTAAAAGGTTTGTAACACAGATATGTAGTTGTGTGTATTCCTTTATAACTAAAATAGTTCCATTCAAAAATATGGAATTATAATAATACATAACATCGAAGATGAGAATAATAGTTCAAATTAATGCATCATAATGATATTTAAATTAATAAAGAGAAAGAGAAATGGTATCTTTTTATAAGATTTTATTCAGAAGAATTAATATGTTATCAAAACGTTTTTATATTTATCAGATCTTTCTTCATTTTATCGATTTTAATAACATTCATTGGTTGGTCCATAGAACCAAATTAACATTTTTATAATTTTTTTAATCAAAACATTTAATTATGTGTTTTTTCTGATCATGTGATATCCTTGGTTTTCTTCCAATTCATCTGAAATATGAAAAAAAATATTCTGCTTAGAAATGATATATCATGAGATCAATGCAGATGTCCCCTAAGCTTCTCTTCTTTGTCCCACTGCTTTTTATTAGCAATCTGCCTAAGAACATTCTCAGATCACTAGTAAACATCTATACAGATGATACCAAAGTTTATGAATACACTTCCAAAAATGAAGAATAATGGAACCATAAAGCTGATCTCTCATCTGACATAACGCTCATACGCTTATTCTCTTTTTGAGTTACATGTGCTTCTCATTTTAGTTGTTGCTGCTGTTAAAAGTCCTAAAGTAATGTGGTTTCTATTATCTGGTACATTCCTTTGCTTGTCATTCTGTAATGCCAGTTCACAAGGTTCAAAGAAAGATAGTCCTTGCTGAGACCTACACACTTAATTTACTGAAAGCCATCTTTAGCCATCAATCTCAAAAAGCAGTTGTATATAGATATTTCTGAAGAAGTATGGCATCATGCATAGCATCCATATGAAATTCTCTATCTGATGAGACTAAGACCATGACTAGTTTTTAGGTTAATGTTTTAGTTTTGTAGCAGCTTGTGGTGTTGGGCAAAACTACCTCTAGTACAGCCTAAAACTGCATTTTTTAAATTAAATCATGACCAGATTCATTATGATGAAAAACTAATGCACTGAGTGTGTTTTTTCATTAAAAAAATAGTTTAACTTGTGCTGTGTTTTTTTCCTGGTGTCTAAAACTACCCACTCTTCCATACAAATATATTATTTTTCGACCATACAACTTCCATGCCAAATGTTTATACATTCTTGTACTGAATGACCAGGAACCTGTCATTGTAACATTAAGGAATTTTGAATTCCTTTTTTCTTTTGAATTTTTTTGTTTGTCTTCCTTTTTCTGCTATCTCTTGCTTGAAGAAAAAAGCAGCACAATATTTGTGACTTAATAATTGTCTTTAAATTTGATTTGCTTTGTTTAGCAGCATATTATGGGTCATTTAATGCTGAAATTTAATTTTCTTGGGAACTTTGTTAATTTTTTTTTTTTACTATCAAAATCTATTACTGGAATTTGTTTTTATTATAAAATTTATTGCTGGAATTTTTTTTTACTATTAAAATCTACCACTGAAAATTTTTACTATAAGAATGTATTGTGATACTTTCATAGTGGTTTGACCCCAATTTGGGAGTCCACTATTTGCCCATAGCTGGTTCCCCGACAGGTGCTATCACTCCAGGTCAGGGTGGATCTGGGAACAACAGCAATTAAGAAGTGGTTCCATGCTCCACAAAACTTCCTGATTGAAAGACTTGTTGCCAAATATAGTTTATTGTCATATCCAGGACAGGTCTTTAAATACTGAGCAAAGAAAAAAAGAAAATTATACAACTGCATATCCAATAGGAAATAGACAATTTTACTTACCTTGTTTTTTTCTCTTGCATCTGCAGTAGAGAAAGCCAGCAAAGATTGCTAACACCACCACAAGCAGCAGACAACCAGTTATGATATATACTTTAACATCAACTGGAATAATAATAATAATAACAATGAAATAATAAGTACTTTATTGATAAAACTGTTGATTCATTCTTGTGGAGGCTGTATGTAAGCTACTGAAAGTGTGCAACACATTGTCATTAGCTGCACAGCTGGCATAAAAAGAGTACAGACAGTACCATAACAAATCAGATCTCAGAATGTACTAGGAGCTATACACAGAGTATGGCCTTATGGGTGTAGATAAGTGCTATGAGCATTCACCATTATCAATGCCAAAAAACGAGCCAGGGAAGCTCATGTAAAATGTAACCATCTTGACTGACAAGCGCTTGGAGATCAGCCACACTGACATCACACTTGTGCAAAAGAACAGCCATCCTGATAAAATCCTGATAGATGTGGTGGTACTTAGTGATAATAACATTGCAAAAGTGAAGTAAACATAAATACTGTGGTACCAAGACCTGGCAGGGCAAACAGGAGACATGTACAAAGTAGCAGCACAAGTTGTCCCTTTAATGGTTGGTACATTCAGGACAATCTCCAAGAATCTTTCCTACCTTGCAAGATACTTTGGGGATATCTGTTAGCATTGGGAGTGTCAGGTATCAGTGTTGCTTGAAATAGCACATGTGCTAAGGAAAGTTGTATCTCTCAGCTGGAGGTTGAAGCTGACATATGACCAGCATTACCCTGCAAAAACAACTAAGACTTGAGGATCTCAAAATATATGATAATAGTAATAATGAGTATAATCATTGAACAATTGTGGCTGAGAGTACAAATTCTGATTGAACTGAAATACTTACACTTAACATCCAGTTCCATATTTGCTGATTCTACCCATGGCAGATTTGCAACTGTAGCTTTACATAGGAGGGTCTTGAAAGATGGGTGCAGGGTCAGTTTCAGAACTGATTTTGATTTGAAGAACTTCCCTGATGCCTCATGAAAGATTTGGGCATTGGAAGTCACATTTCTGGAAGATCCACTTTCTTTATTAATTACCCATTCAATCTGGGGTGATGGCTTGGATTTTCCAACCAGGCATACAAAGCTCTTCTCTGTTCCCTCAATCAAGTCTGTGTCATTAAATGATTCTATTTCAACTGTCTCCACAGGAACTGAAACATTGAGGAAAGCAAGCATTTTAATTCAACCAGAAAAGAGCTCTATACTAAAAGGGACTTTTAGAGATATAAGTTTGTATTTTTTAAAATTCTTATGAGCAGAAAGGTAGAAACACTACAATGAAAATAGTCATTGGTAAAATTTCAACTTTTACTAAGTCAGTTACAAACAGTTGTTTATTACATTATGTCACAATCTACATGTATTTCCTAAATTATTTTGGCCATGACAACAAAAAGAAGTTTCTAGTCTTTCAACCCTCAGGGCAGAAAGATAATTTTAATGTTTCTCAATTTAGTTTTGTCCAATAAATTTTACTCAATTTTTAGTCAATTAAAGTGTTGATGCTTGAATTTATTGTGAGTTCAATTCCTGGGCAGTGTGTACTTGTACTGAATGGAAATAGGATAAGCAATAATTGAGAAGTACTAAATAAAAAACAAAACATCACTGGATATGAACATTAGAATAAGAACAATCTGTTCTTGTAGATTAAATAAGGAATTCAGTTCAAAATTCCCTGAAGGTTACCTGGATTGACAAGCACCTGATGAAGGTAACAATGACTGAAACTTTGTGATAACAGTAACAAAGATGAGGCAAATAGTTCACATGCAAAGAATGGTAACTCCTCATCCCAGAAACTTTAGAAATTACTCATCAATAAATCTTGATATTTTTTATGTTGACAAAGAAAATTAAAGGCACAACCTCATATGAATGTAAAGGTGTAGGGGAGTTATAACTTTGAATAAATAATTATAAACCCCCAAACATTTATATATAAAAAAATACTTGTAGAAAATGAGAAACAGCAAGATATGGAAACAACAAAATGAGTATCATTTATTATCTGGTTGTTGTGTGGTGTTAGAGACATAAGAGACAGTAATAATGAGTGTTATATTTCGTATTTGGCTTTATTAATTTAACTCAGATACATGTTAATGCAACTCATTTATTCTGCCATTTCAGCTTCTACTGATAAAACAATTAAAGGGTCAGAACTCTCTAACATTCAATATCTCTGGTTCCATCCCTCTTATCAAATGAAAAAATTATTGTTCTCAAATTATGGTGTTTCAAAATAAAATTTTCTGTGTTTCCCCTCTTTGGAGATAATAAGGAAAAAAATTGTTATTTTAATTTTTTTTTTATTTTTCTTTTTTTTTGTCTTTTTTAAAATTTATTTATATAAAATAAAGTCCTTAATTTTTGTTGGGGGCTTCAGTGTTCTAGGACAGTTCAATGGTGTTGGTGGTTGGCTGTGTATTTGTTCAGTTTGTGTTTGCTGTTCTATGGGCTGTATATGCTGAGCTGTGGTAGGTGGGGTGTTGACAGTTGCTGTGGGATCTGTACTCCTATAAGATTATGATTTTGGATCACTTTGTCTGATCCCTTGACTTAGTAAGCTAAAAGTGACCTGTTTCTGCAATCTGTATTGTTCCCTCACATGTCATCTGTTGTGTCTGAGTAGTCTTCCATCACTTTGTATTTTGATGATGTAACTACATGGTTTTGTGCATTTATCCATCAATGTTTCTGGTTGGCATGTGCCATGTGTATGACAGATAGTTTGCAGCCTATAATCAATTCAGGAAGGTCTTTTGCATTTCTGTTGTAATACTGTTGTTGCTTCCTGTTTTGTCGTTCATTCTTTCCTAGATCTGATTGTCTTTTGGAATGTCACTGTTCAATAAAGTTAAGATCCTTGTTCTTATTTTCTTATTGTATAGGATCTCTGCTGGTGATGGCATGTGGCTGTCAAGTGGGGTAGCTCTTAGGCATAGAAGAGCCATTTGGTAGTCCATCTTTGACTGTTTTGTTTATACCATAGTATTTTTTACAGTTTGAACCATTCGTTGAAGCCATTTGATTGTAGCTATCTAGGGCTGGATGTGACTTATGTGAATTCCTGCTCCATGGCAAAATTGTGACATGTCATATGACATGTAATATCTGGCATTGTCTGTGTACAGGTGCTCTGGTATGCCATGAATGGCAAAAATTGCTTTAAAGTGTTCAATACAATTTGCACTTGTGACAGTCTTCATTATCTTGATAAATGACAGTTTGCTGTATTGGTCAGTGATAAGTAAAATTTGTTGGCCATTGAAGTCAAAGATGTCAGCAGTAATATATTGGAATGGTCTCTTTGGTATTCTTTCTCTGGTGCTCGTTGCATATCTCAGATGTCCTTACTAATGTTTCAATATCTTTGTTTATTTCTCTCCAATAAACACTATTTCTTACTTTAAGTTGACATTTTTCTATTCTTTGGTGGGCTTCATGAATTCTTTAAAGGGCATTGTTTTGCATAATTTTGGTATGATTCTGCTTTTACCTTTAGTCACCAGTCCATCTTGTACTGATAGACATTCTTTCATTGACCAGTAATTTCTTATAAGATTAGTATATATTTCACATCCTCTGGTCATCCATTTATTATCACTTGTTTTAGAGTTCTCTACTCTTCATCTTCTATAGCTTCTTGTAAGTCCATTTGCTTCTGTGCTGATGTATTAACAGTATTTATTGTTATATCTATGTCGGTTTCTTTGCTATGAATTGGCTGTACTCCTGATAAGTAATCTAATATTCTCATTTTTTAACCTGGCTTGTATATAATTTGAGCATCATATGGTTGTAGCCTTAACAACATTCTTTGCAATCTTATGGGTGCTTGTGCAATGTTTTTGTTCTCTATATTTTCTACTGGTTTGTGGTCAGATTCAATTTGAAATTCTTTTCCATATATGTATATGTGTGAAATCTTTCACAACCAAACGCTACTGCAAGCAGTTCTCTTTCTATCTTTGCATACCTTGCATCTGCATCAGTAAGTTTTTTGCTAGCAAATGTAAGAATTTTGCCATCATTGATAAAAGTTGAAAAGCTTTTTTGTGTGTTTTGTTCCATTGAAATTCTTCTTGAAGTAGTGATCTCAGTGGATCTGTTTTGGAACTAAGTTCTGGTATGAAAGGGTTTAGGTATTGGATCATACCTAGAAATTGCTAAAGTTCTTCTCGGTTTGCAGGTGTAGGTTTTCATTTGATTTTGTTGTATTTCTCTAGATCTGGGTGGGAACTATTTTCATTCCAAATAAGACCATAAAATTTTACCTGTTTTTGTCTGATTTTGAATTTTTGTTTATTGAAAACTAGACCATACCTTCTGACTGTATCCATTGTCCTACTCAAATTTCCACCATGTTCTTGAATTGTTTTGCCATATACATGGATATTATCAGATATGGCAATGGCTCCTTCACAATCTTTCAGTATTTGGTCCATTTTTTGTTGATATATTTCCTGTGACCAAAAGGACATCTTATATATCTGTATCTTCCAAATAGTGTATTGAAGCATGTGAGTTAACTTGATTTTTCATCAAGATGTATTGTCCAGTATCCATGTTTCACATCTAATTTTGTAAAATGTTTAGCACCAACCAATTTATGAGAAATTTATTCAAGGGTTGGAGTTTTGTGGTACATTCTTTTAATGCATTTGTTCAATGGTTTTAGATCTAAGCATATCCATAATTAACCACTTTTCTTCCTATTACATGCAATTGCATTTACCCAGTCTGTTGGTTTATTTACTTTTGTGATCACACCAATGTCTTCCATTTTGTCTAATTCCTTCTTCCATTCATCTTTCAAGTGTACTGGGTACTTTCTTGGAGGTTGAACTACTGGTGTAGCATTTTTCAATAATGTAGATTTTTTTGGTCTCCCTGAAAAGTTTCCAATACCTTGATATCTGTCAGGTATTCACTTGAAAGGTCTTCTTTACAGTTTTTTTCTCTACTGTCGCCATACTACAGTTAATTTGCACAAAGTCCAAATTTACACACGGTCTTAAGCTTAATATTGTTGTGTCATTTTCACACACAAAAAATTTGGTTTGTATGGTTGCTGAGTTTTTGTGTCTAATGTTGAGAATTATTGAATTCTATTATGGAATTTTACTGCTATTTACTGCCCATAAGGTAGTTTGCTCCATTTTTACACTTATAGGTCTGTCAGTATTCTTGTCAATGTCTCGGGAGTACATTTTCTTGTATATTCTTAATGGTATTATATTATTGTTGGCCCCAGTATCCATTTTCCTTTTTCTTTTTGTTTTCTTCCATATATGTCTTCACAGTTTATGTTGGCAAATACTTCTTTGCTGTTAATGTTGTTAAGTCTTTTGTCTCTATTTTTCATAGTATATAAATATAGGTTGTCTTTCTGGTCTAGTTCATCTTCTGTTTTATGTGTGGTATTCACATTTTTCTTTTCTGTAAATGGCTTCCTATGCCAGCAGTAGAGGTTTTTTCTGGCTGTATATGGGCTCCCTTTCTTCATTTTATGTGGACTAAGGTTTCTGTTTTTTCATGAGCATGTTTTTGTGAGGTAACACTTTTCAAAATAGTGTAAACCATGACATCTTCAGCATTCTTTGTTGTAAGCATAGCAGTCCTCTTTTCTTCTATCATGACTTTCTCCACACTTTGTACACTGTCTGGTATTTATCATTGCTACTTCATGATATGTTCCAGCTTTCCCTTCACCAGCATCCTTGTAATGTGGGTCATGTTTTATTGTAGCTTTGTATGCTCTCATGTTTTCTATAGCTATCTTCAGTGTGAGATTTGGTCTGCTGATAAGGTTTCTTCCTTCATCTGCATATTTACGTCTTTTTATTAATTATTCCAGGATTATTTCTTCATTGTTTGGACCAAAATCACATCTTTCTGCTTTTGTTTCCACTCTACCCAAATACTCATCAATTGTTTCTTCATTCTGTTGTAGTGAAGTAAACTCTAATTGTTCAACCCATTTGTTTGGTTTTTGTATTATGCAGGTGTCAGAAATCTTGAATATATTTTCTGATATCTCTTCATGCTTGGTTATTAGCTGTGCATTTTTTATTATTTCCCAAGCCTTTTGTCCTCTGCTCAGTAGAATGTAATTATGTTTTATTTTTTCCTCTACATTGTTGAT